GTAGTAGTAGTAGTAGTAGTAGTAGTAGTAGTAGTAGTAGTAGTAGTTATAGTAGTAGTAGTAGTAGTAGTAGTAGTAGAACTAGTACTAGTACTCGTACTGGTACTAGTACTAGTAGTAGCTGTTGAACGTCCGTAACACGCTTGTTTTGCACCCTAAACTTCCTTTGACTATATTATATTGTATATTGATTCCAAGGACCTGCTCAGAAGGTCCTTGCACCCTGGAAAAAGATATATAATAACAAAACAACATCTAAAATCCTACAAATCCCCAACCACCTTCAAGATCTTGGTATGTGGATCCTTAGATTGTCGAAAAACACAGATTCAAGGATCGCCGCGGAACCTTGGCTTCTTTTTTTTTCGCTCGTACCGACTCTGAAAGGTCCAATCTTCGGGTTCCAGGGACTGCTTCGGACCAAGTATCTCATGCTGACACCGTCGAGATGGGTGAAAGATCAAAAAAATATTTAACGCATCAATAAAAATGTATTCCACACGCATCAAAAAAATATTTAATGAATCAAAAAAAATATTCCAAATAGCAGTAGCAGTAAGAGTAGCAACCGGACTATAGCAGCAGTATCGTAGTGGTAGTCGTAGTGTTTCGTGGCAGGTGCAGTACTTTGTGGACCTTGCAATGCAAATTTCGTGGCGGGTGCAGGACTTTGTGGATGTTGAAGTGCAGAGTTGGTGGCCGGTGGTAGGCGCAGGACTTTATGGGCCTTGGAGTGCAGATTTCGTGGCCGGCGCAGGACTTTGTGGACCTTGAAGTGCAGATTTCGTGGCAGGTGCAGGACTTTGTGGGCCTTGGAGTGCAGATTTCGTGGCATGCGCAGGACTTTGTGGCCTTGGAGTGCAGATTTCGTGGCAGGTGCAGGACTTTGTGGCTTTGGAGTGCAGATTTCGTGGCAGGCGCAGGAGTTTTTGATGTGGAAGTGTAGAGTTGGTGGCAGGTGCAGTACTTTGTGGACCTTGCAATGCACATTTCGTGGCAGGTGCAGGACTTTGTCGATGTTTCCTTGGAGTGCAGATGTGCAGATTTCGTGGCAGGTGTAGTACTTTGTGGATGTTGAACTGCAGATAGACAGATAGAAAGATAAATGGATCGATAAATATATAGATAGGTAGATAGATTGATTTAGAAAAATTTGCACCGGGGAGTTCACCTTAAAATATTGATTTCGTGGCAGGCGCGGGTGTCGGGGATGAAGTGCAGATTTCATGGCGCGGGGGGGTTGGGCGCCCCCCCAGCAGCACACCAGATCCAAAGGTGAGCAGCTCGTGCTTGCTTGCTTGCTTGCTTGCTTGCTTGCTTGTCGTAGTGTTTCGTGGCAGGTGCATTACTTTGTGGACCTTGCAATGCACATGTTGAAGTGCAGAGTTGGTGGCCAGTGGTAGGCGCAGGACTTTATGGGCCTTGGAGTGCAGATTTCGTGGCAGGCGCAGGACCTTTTTGTGGACCTTGAAGTGCAGATTTCGTGGCAGGTGCAGGACTTTGTGGGCCTTGGAGTGCAGATTTCGTGGCAGGCGCAGGACTTTGTGGACCTTGAAGTGCAGATTTCGTAGCAGGTGCAGGACTTTATGGGCCTTGGAGTGCAGATTTCGTGGCAGGCGCAGGACTTTTTTGTGGACCTTGAAGTGCAGATTTCGCGGCAGGTGCAGGACTTTATGGGCCTTGGAGTGCAGATTTCGTGGCAGGCGCAGGACTTTGTGGACCTTGAAGTGCAGATTTCGTGGCAGGTGCAGGACTTTGTGGCCTTGGAGTGCAGATTTCGTGGCAGGCGTAGGAGTTTTTTGATGTGGAAGTGTAGAGTTGGTGGCAGGTGCAGGACTTTGTGGGCCTTGGAGTGCAGATTTGGTGGCAGGACCAGCGGACCAGCGGACCAGAGGACCAGAGGACCAGCGGACCAGGGGACCAGCGGACCAGATGACCGGCCACCCACACGACTGGGAATTTCAAGGGTTTTTATCGCAAACCGAATATTTTTTTGATTCAGTAAATATGTTTTTTTGTTTCGGTAAATATTTTTTTTGATTCGACAAATATTTTTTTTTGATACCTATGCCCGTCGAGATCCTCCCCTCACCCCAACAGAAGAACGATGAACTGCAGCTGAGCAGCGTCACCGATTCATCTACCACAAAGATAGCAGCCTCTTGGATTGCTCGCACTCCAGATGCACCTACCCATCCGGCGACGTGCTCCAGGCGGTTGTTTCGAACGATCCCCCCAAGGGCACATCTGGCAAAGGGCAGTTGATTGACAATCGACGGGTGCTTTCGCGGATTCCATAAATGGTCAGCGTCGAAGATCATCCATCCATCCATCCATCCATCCATCCATCCATCCATCCATCCATCCAGCAGGTCGAACAGCAAGAAGAGCAGCAAGAGCCGCAGGTTTAGCAGCAAGACCAGAAGGAAGAGCAGCAGAAAGATCATCAAGACCAGCAGCAGCAGCCAAGAGCAAGAGCAAAAGCAAGAGCAGCAGCAATAGCAGCAAGACCAACAACAAGAGCAGCAAGTTAAGCAGCAAAAGGCAGCAAGAGCAAAAAGCAAGAGCAGCAAGTTAAGCAGCAAAAGCAGGAGCAAAAGCAAGAGCAGCAGCGGCAGCAGCAGCAGCAAGAGCAGCGGGTTGAGCAGCAACAGCACGAGCAAAAACAGCAAGACCAGCAGCAAACGCAGCAGCAAGAGCAACAGCAAAAGCAGCAGCAGAGGTAGGATTTGATCCAGGGGGGCCCCCAATCATGATGAAGAATCCTTCCTTAGAGAGCCAAAATTAAGGCACAATCCCAACTACTCCAGATATCTCCAGATTGTAATACATTGTTGCTAAAAGCAAGGACAACTCAGGTTTAGCGAGTGAAAAGTGTGTTCGTGCCAATGAAAGCTGCACCAAAAGGCTAGTGGCTCGGTCTGTTGCACGAATCATCGGTATTTGTTTCGGGGTCAGAATGTCCTTACCCCCAGAAGGCCTTTAGAAATAGACCGACTAGGGGGGGTACCCCCAAAGACACGCTTGCTGGCAGATCACTGCCGGTGGATTGGCCTCGATCGAAAGCACAGCACGGACTTGTCCCCGCGCGAGTCATTGGGTGTCCGGGACTAACGTCCATCCGCTGGACCGGCTGGACCGGTTCGCCGAGCGGAGGCGTTTTCGGTGCGGGGCCGCAGTTGTGACACCCGAACCGCCAGCAGTCCCAAAGCACCCGAAGGCGTACATTGACGATGGGCGGATATGCGACTGACTCGGTCAATGTATACATACTGTAAAATTCCAAGCGATCCTCTCCACAAGTTTCAGGCGCACTTGATTGAGATGCATGTGCTAACTGCTTCCGGTTCAGCCATCTGAACATGGAGAGCCGAAAAGAACATCAACCCTCTGATTTGTTCGCTACCTGGACACTCTGATGTATGCTGCAGGGGCAAGTGAGGCATGGCTCGGGGGTTAGTTGTGGAGGTGTGGTGGTGACCCTCTGTCTCTACCTCGACAAACACGCCATGTTAGCACGGTGAAGCCGCCACGTCAGTCAGGCTGGTCGACTGCGCTCGTGTCGGTGCAGCTTCAGAGTCCTGTATGATCCACGTATTTCAGTCTGAGTCAGACTGCACCTGTTCAACTACTTACACAAAACAAACAACAGCAAGAACGTCTGTCGCCCTCCCTCTTCCTCTCTCGGACAAAAAGGACGGTCTCTCGGACGGACGGCTCCCGCTCGCCGTCGCCGCCGTTCGGTACGCCCGCCCGGTTCGGGCGTTAGGACGTCACGGGGTCACGGGGCCGAACCGCATGGGGTTTCGTCTTTTTGAGGGTTGGACTGTTTTTCAGTGACCTGCAGAGTTGGGAGGTCATGGGACGACCGGGATGCCGCCCGAATAACGCTCGATCTTAGTGCTCCAAATGGGTCGGACAGTGACTCCCTCTGTCACCTTCAAACTCGGAGCTGGGATTTCTGGATCGAACGGAGTCGAGGTTGTCGGATCCACAGGGCAAGCTCGCTCCTTCAGTCTGAGGCACTCAAGGTTGCGGAGAGCAAGGGCCGGACATCTTGGTAGAAGCGCGTCACCTCAGTGCAGCAACTGAGCTGGACATCACTAGAGGTGTCCCAGAGGTGTCCTACAAATACTGAGGTCTTCTGCGTCCCTCGTTTCGGGGTCTCCTCAGAATCTCACAGTTCGCGAGCATCTATCACAAAGTATGTCAAACGTTCATTCAGTCTTTCGGTCGCTGCAACGGCCTCGTCAAAAACCACTTCGACCATCTTTGTCCGATGCAAACACCCACAAACAGCGAAAGTCGGGAGCCTTAATGATCGTTCTTAGCGGTTTGGGTTCACGCGGTACAGAAACGCCTAAGAAATTCTTAGCATGATTTTGTTTTTGTAGCATTTGGCTATCGTCTCCCAACATTCTGCAACTCGCAATCGCTGGGCGATCCGACGATCCAAATAGATGATTATGAGTGGCAACTCTCCAGAGCTTCATGGCATCAATAGGGAGACACCCGAGACGCCCTGGCTGGGTAGACTGGTTGATTTTCCTTCTTCTGGTGGCTCTTTGGGGGGTCTTCCTATTTCACACGCCCTCATGTCTTCCCAGGACCGGTTTTGATCCCGCTATGGTGACCATACATCGTTGTTGAACAGTATAGAGTGCGGCAAAGTATTCGAACAATTTCTTCCATGGATTGGACCATCCGAGCAGGTCGCCCGTGGTCCCAAACACTAACAAACGTTACTGAACTGTAGAATCCTGCGTGGGTCCCTCAATGGTCATGACCGCAATTACTACCGCCATTCTACAGGGGGCACCATGGAATCGACCTGGTCAACTCGCTGTTTTCCAGTGGCCCCGGACAACCGCCAACTCGCTGGGTGGACATGTCAAGTCACCTGTGCCATTTGAATCATTGGGCACAGTTGTGTCATCACTGGCAAGCCCGCGAAGGGCACCCCGCGCAAGATGCCGCGCAAGGAGGTCTCAAAGAGAATGATCGTGTCGCCAAACTCGTCGATGTTCGTCAGAACATCCACACCTGCAGGCTACACAGGGCCGCAAGAGTCCCTGTCTCTGAAGGGGAGAAACAAAAGCACCTTGTTTGAAGGCTTCATTTCAACGGTGCAACTGAGCCTACGAGACGGGAATTACCGTATCACCCGGCTTCTTACCTGGAGCGACCTTTGTATGCAAAAAAAGGTCATGAGTCATGAGTCATAATCTTTTTGGAGGTGTAATGCCAAACAGCGCTAAGCATGTCATGTGGTGGTTCTTTAGGGATCGTGACACGTTGGCCAGCACTTGAATCACTTGGCGAAATGGAACATTGAGTAATCCCTACAAAGCACAGTCTCCAGCTCAACTTTTGGCATGCCAACGCGTGATGATGGGGGTCACACTTGGGATGCGCAGCAACTTGTAAGACTTCAGAATTTAATTTCCGGGCGGCATCTGCAGGATTTTGGCAAACTGGTGGTTTCATGTGGTTTCCAGCATTTTGGAGACCTCACAAGCACTTGAGCTTGACCATATTGAAAAAAACGATCACTGCAATTGGAATTTGTTCCCGAAGATCCATATAATTACACGATTTCCTGCCGGTTGCACTATTGCATTTTATTTGGTTATTGGGTGGTCCAGGTAGATGTAACTAACCACTACCAAGCAACAACAACCGTCTCAGAGGCAATCGTATCTTACGCTTAGTGACAAGCACCAGCCAAACCATCTCGGAGGACTGGCAAAAACAACGGACTCCTTCCCCCACTAAGTATCATCTTCAAGTTCATTGGGGTAGCGAATGCAGGACGCTGGTGTTTCAGTCGCTGATCCAGCTGGTGTTTCTGTAGCTTTTTGGAGCCCTACTAGTGGTGATAGTCGCGTACAGTTTCTTTTTTCAGCTAAGGACGACCTGACCCGACATGTCAGGTCGGGTGGGCTCAGGATTTTAAACACCACTCAACAAGACCTCCTTCTGTTTCACACGCTTCGCATGAACTGGGTACAGAACTTCCGCAGCTTATCACACAGCTCGCGCCCAGCAGCGCGAGCTCCAAAAAGCGCCTTGACTCAGCAGCAAAAGCCCTTTGGCCAATCGTTGGATGATGGTTCGCTGTCGGAACAGGAGATCCTCGATGACCTCCGTTGAACAACTCGACCGAACCGATCACCTTGACCGAACCGGTCCCACGAGTGGGGCTTTTCAGACACCAAACGAACAGAATACCCCAACGGCTGCAATTTTGTGTGGTAAACATTTGACTGGTTTTAGTGGACGTCTGGTAGATGTTGGCAGTCTTGAAGCCTACATGGAGTGTTTTCTTACATCTGTTTTGCATTCCTAATCTGCCAGGGCTCCTCCAGCCTAAGATGAGGTCTTGTGAGGTTAAATTTATAAATATACTTACACCAATACCGGTCTCTGAATACAAGTGGTACTAGTCTGTCTGTGATCCATTCCCCTGACTCCTGTATACCAGAACCTGGAGCAACCAACCCCCGCTATAAAGGACAACCTTGTCCGAACGCCCGTGTTTTCGCATACAAAATACACCCCAAAAAGTTTTGCAGTGGAAAACACAGTTTCTCATGTTCAGAACCCGTATTTAGCACTGTGCAAAGCACATAAATAAAGAAAAAACATACCTTTGAGCAACTTGGCTTGGTTGCAAAAAACAAATCTGTTCAAGACCCTGTGATTTTGTCTATGTAAGGTGTCTTTCTTTTGGAAGGTGAGTCTTAGGGGATAACTTGTCCCATATGGGTTTGTTTATACGAGTTCATCCAGAATTCATCTTCGCGTGAACCCTGCTGTCGAAAGCATCCTTTCTGGTGTTCTCATGGAATGGACCATGAGATAAAAGCCAGTTCCAGTGGTTCTAAGATCCGTTGCCATTCTCTGTTGCCCTGAAGGAGCCCTGGTGGTTCCAAGTACCTATGATGCCATTCTAACTATACATTGAGTGGTTCCTACATAATAAGATCGCAATGTTAAGACACCGACGATTGAAAACGAACCAATCATAAACTCTGATTATGAATCCCTTTTGTACCGAACCGGTTCTGCTTCTTTGTACGGGCCTTGACAACTGCAATAGCCTCACGGAGACCAGGTCATCACCCAACCCTTTGTGGGATCAATCACCCGTCGAACCAATCACTCCAGTGTTTCTTTTTGCGAGTGCCTCATCAGGTCATCCCACAACAAGGCCTTCTGAACGCAAATAGCTACCCATAACTGAATTCTACCCACTCTCGTGGTTTTGTCTATATAAGTAAGATATGATATTCAATTGAACAATTGCATACCAACACCCTCCAGCAGGTCACCAATTGAAATCTTTCAGAAGACCTGTTGGAGGGTGGTAGAGGAACAAATTGCATTCTTCCAATCCCAGCAACACTGGGCATGTACTTCAGTGCTGCATTCGCTTGGATCATCAGCCGCGACAAAAGCAACGCTGAGGCATCATGCACCTGGAAACCGAGGCAATGCACCGCGGGACAACTCCTCCGACTCCGACCGATTCAATTGTAGACCATCCGTGGGACTGGCAGCAGCATCTTTACACACAGCATATACAGTATATATAATATATATATATACATATGTATTACAAACATATGTATTTACCCACAATAAGGTGGTTGAAGACGGGTCAAAGTAACTGTATATGCCAAAGCTGATAATCATGGTCTCTATGTAGGCCGTGATAGTTCCGCTCCCAAGAACTCCAGGATCCTGGGATCCTTGGCGCCGGATCCTGGGGCAGAACCCTATAAGAAAAACAAACAAACAAACAAACAGCAATCAACCTCTCCTGAAGTGACAAAACTTCGATCTTCGATCACCGGATCAAAATCTTTGGACAACGAGGCTCTGCGAACCGAGCCCCAAAACGGCGACCGCCGCGTAGGGTGCGTGCGATGAAAGCGGTACTCTAACATGCATAGACTCGGGCTCTTGTAAGATCTTTATAAGGGTCCAAAATGGGTCGTCCCGAGTACCGGGTACCTTTCAAAACATGATTAAATAACTCATGTCGGAGACCCCTAAATACAGTTTATATGCTAAACTGCAAACATAATTATGGGATTGTTGTTTTAAATTAGGTTCCTAGATCCTTATTTTCATTTTTTTTTTAAATGCGAGTTAAATAAAGGGTCATCATAGAAAATGTTCATAGGCGACTTTTCTATATTGAAGTTATTCCAGGTTCCCATCTTTGTGGGACCCCTATTTTGGGGACCCCCTATGAACAAAACCGACGCCATCCGTTTATCTATTGGAGGGCGACGTCATCCGCCGACGAAGGGATGTACCCGCCGACTCACTGACATGGAAGTGGAAAATGAACCTTGGAAACCTACTCTACTTTACGAACAGGGGTGTTCCACTTCCATGTTAGTGACTCGGACTCGGATTGTAATGCAGTATATTGGTCATTGTGGCAACAGGGTGGTTTCCACTTCCATCTTAGTCAGTCGGAGTGTTTAATTATCCATCCATGTGAGTGACTCGGAAGGAGTTCCTATCCCCCAGAGGAAGAATTACCCCAACATCACTTCGTAAACACTTCGTGTGATAATGTTGGAATATATAGGATATACAGTATATCCCCAAGCTTCCCCCCATGGCCAAACGAATGTGTGAACAACATTGTTAACGTCTGTGGGGCGGTTTTCACGCCCAAGGCGCCGGCAAAGCACTTTGGGAGACCGCCTGAAGCACCTCCATGTCCGTGGACCCGTCCGCGCGGCGAATCTGAGGCCAGACCGAGCGTAGGTCGTGCCGAGCGTTTGGGTCGTGCCCGAGCGTTGTGACATCCCGAAGGGTTGCCATGTTTCGACGGATCTTTCTAAGGCATTTAAGGCCCAACTTCGGCTCGGTACGCGGTCAAAACTGGGCCATGATGCACAGGAAACGTGCCTCCCTTCCCCACCCAAAAGAGCAATCTCAGCCAGAACCAGCCCAAGTCTTAGGGTTCCATCCGATCTATCCAGCCAGCAATCCTCAAGCTCGTTAGACTGCAATAAGCTTAGACTAGCTGCGCTAGCTGGACTCATCCGCTTTGGTTCATCCGCTTGGACTCACCCACCGGATGTGAACGGTCTGTACGGTACGAAACATTACGTAATTACTATAGACGGTCTTTTTCGAAGGGCAAAAGGGCCGCTTCAACGTGTGGAAAGTAGAGTTACCACTGTTACACTGCAGAGCAAAGTTCAGTTGTATGCTCAGCGACCGTGTTCATGTTGTTCAACAAGAGCGCCTGAATGCAGGGCTCGACGGTGGGCCGTGGGACGGAACTGCATGATGGGCTGTTGCCATTAGCAGCTTCAAAGGGGGACACGAGGGAAAGTAAAGGTGAACAAAGGGGAAGGTGTATAGCCACTGGATGTAATGTATGGAGGTATGATGAAATAAGGAATATATAATGCCCTAGGACCTAACAATAAGGTACTAAGTACTCAGGCCCCCGTTGGCTTGCATGCAATAGACTCGAAATGATGATCACTGATATGGGGAAAGCTGCGCAGGAAAGCTGAGCCGAGCAGTTCTTGCTTGGAGGTGCTGGTGAGGCCACAAAGGTGCAGTTCGGGTCTGTCTGTCCAGTTTCCAAAGCGTGTTTCCACCAAAACGGGTCTGCAGATTCGCCCATGTTGGATCCCAAGTAGGCCATGTAATAGACCAAAGGTTGATCTAGGATGATCTAGGTCTTCTACAAGTAGTGTTGGAAACGTTTGGGAACCCTTCGTATACATGCCTGTCATACCCCCACAACTCAGAGCTATTGACTGGACCGTTGGTACCCTCAGGGCTCTCATCTTCCGGTCGGACCAACGGAGAAGACGGGTATTAAGTCCACGTCACGAAGAAGGCAGGCTTGACACATCTGAGTCGAGTCCAAATCGAGTCCTGTCCGTTTTGGAACTGTTCTTGGTGACCAAGATCAAGCCCCTACTACCAGAGTGGCCCTTTTCTTGCTGTGCTTGAACCACCAACACCCGTGGACTTCCGGGCTTATCCGATCTCAACATTCAGAATCGATCTCAAAATGATCACCAACAAGCACAACTTTTACGGGGTCTGGGTACTGGCCAAAATGAGTGTGCAATAGTGTGCAACAAATTGATGCTTGTATGTGACTTCCGTGCACTTGTCCGGCACTTGTTTTTCAGCGTGCCTTGTAGGGCAACCATGCAGTCTTGATGTCGGTCCGTGCTTGCACCACGTCGGGGGTGTTGCACTGCACGATGTTCTGACTTGCATCACCGGCCATCATCGCATCCAGGATGTCCTGAAAGGTGTCGATGGTCTCCTGAGTGGTGCAGAAGGCAGCCACATGCATGCAAGGGTGTCCAAACAAGACCCATCATAGTTTAGGGCAATCATCCATTTGTGGTTCCTTGGATGATCCAGGATGGGTTTGATGCTGAAATTCACAGAAAGCGAACTGGATACTGGGAGTTCGATCCACAGTCTGTCATCGCCTGGAGGTTGTGCACAGAAAGAGACGTGCCAAGCGGAGTTAAATCTGAAAGCAAAGCAATCGGATCCCGACAAACATTTATTCACAATTGAATTAGGGCAAGCACCGGTTGGTGTGAGCGTGTCGAGTCTAGCGCTTGTGACCTCCATTGTTGTTGCAGTTTTCTATGAAGTGTCTGGGGATTTCTCAGTAAGGCAGTTCCGTTCCATCCAATATAATATATATATATTTATTTATAGTCAGTTCTTACATAGTTATATCATGTTATATCACTAGTTATGTTATATATACATTGACATACATATGTATATCATGTATATCCTTTGTGGATCCACTGCTATGCTCTGAGAGGGTGAAAACGAAGACTGTAGGCAGTCTTGGAGGGTCCAGTCGTACCGAACGACTGGATCGGTCCTATGTGGATCCACAGGAAATCGGTCCTAGGAGTCCTAAGTCCTCAGTTGTTGCCCACCGTTTGGTTGGTCCCTACAAGTGAGGATCTGGGATCTGATCATACAAACTTTGCTCCATTTGCGATCCGCCGGTAAGCTCCATACAGAAAACTTGTTCAAAGAAACAAAGGACCAGGTTTTACTGGGTCTGGACTTGGACGGGAAGGGTTGCTTCGTGCCCGGACATCTTCATTCACTCCTTATTCCAGGAACGCCTTTTTCGTGGATGTCAGACCTGTACTATACGTAGTGATGACTTGAAGAGTAACATAGTCTTCGTCCGCACCTTCTCCACATCTTCGATCATCTTCGTCTATTTCAGCATCCCATCTACGGCCCGACATCGCCGAGGCGCCAACAACTTGACCTTGTTTGTTGCCACATCCTTCCCCGCGGCAATGAGGCAAAACTCCTCACGACCACAACTCGCGACAGGGTCTCAGGTGCGCGGGTAAGCGGACAGGAGTGTAACATGGGGTGAAAAAGATTGAAAAAGGCACTGCCCAGACTCAAGTGCCAAAAAGAAACGTATATAATCAAACCACTGCACCCGAAAACAGTCGGTCCTTGGTCATCTTTTCGGACAAGATCATTTGCTCACCAGCCTTGTTCACCGTGTTGCGCCAGTCTGCATAGGCCAGCTCGCTCAGGAGAAAAGCCAAGGTCACGAGAAAGGACGTCATGGCAAAGCGGTCAGGATGATTGAAACAAAGAGCGACGGAGCTTTGAAACTGGAAACGGCTTCCATGGGACCAAGGCATGGCGATGGGATGTTCATCGGACTGCGCATCAAGACGACGACATCCTAAGGCCTCGATCGGTGTCTCGATCCCCAGAAGGTGTGAGTACGTTATGACCAATTCCATGCAGGGCCTTCGTATACTTAGTAAGCAAGTAACTCAAAGCGTCGAAACTCGACTCCACAAGTGTCGACTCCAATACTCCACATGACATGGCGTCGAACGGACCGCTTCGACCGCTTCTCTCTTTTCGCACCCGTTGGATCGATCCGGCTGCGCCAGCGCCAGTCAAGGCGGTCCAGGAGACCGAGATCGCTTGGAAATCGTCGGTTTGGGCTATCATTTTTGTGCATCGAAAAAACACAGCGACAGAGGGCCCTTTGGATCTTGATGTGTGTTTTTCTCTTTTTTTTTACACTGTATAAGCTGTATGAAGAGGTTGCAGGTAACCGAGCAATCCAGAGTGGATGGCATACTACATGCTGGGCCATGAAAGGACACTTGAGGCAGCATCCTGCTTATATATATGTATACATATATATATATGCATTTATTGTATAAAGATACTGCTGAAACAAATTGCTCATTACTTACCTGGATACAAGGCTCCTTCAGCAAAGAGTGAGACGCAGGTACAGGTTTCAACCTCAACAGCAGACAAAAAAAATCCACCAGGGACCATGTACACCAAGTTTTGGACAGTATGACTCTAAGATCTAAAATCAATAAGCTTTATGTCCATTGATCCCAAAATCCCTTGCTCATTGTCACAATTTCTGGGGTCCTCGTTGTTCACCATTTTTCCGGTCTCCATCTAACCACTGCGTTCACGGCATGCCGCATGCCTCACTGCTTCTCAGTTCCTCGCTTCGTCCAGCCTGCTTTTTTCATACACGCGTTGGGTTCTGCCAAGCAGTGCGGTGGAAAAAACACACTTTAAATGGTAGTGCCAACTGTAGTACCTCGAAGGCCAACTGTACTGCTACAAAACTTGCTCAGTCATTTCAATAACCTAGTCGCATCCATTTCTGCCTCTAAAACTGAGCGGCGCAGAAAGAATCCTTTCGATGGACCAATCTTCCTGCGCCGACGTGTAACGTGGTCACCATGAGAATTCCTTTTTGTCCTTTACTGTGCGGATGTTCACGGTGGATCAGGTATCCCGGTGGCGCGACAGTTCAGGAAACGTCCGAAACACCGAATCCACCTGAACCATGTCGATTTGGATGCCTCGTTGACTTCATTGTGTCTCCATTTTAGAAGGTGTGCCCATTGGATTCCATGTCACACGGTGATCCCCAACATACATGAAATCGTGAATGCCTTCCAAAAAAGAACGAAATTGGGGGTACTTATAACATGTTTAATATATACATATGTGCACAATATATACATATTTGTGTCGATATCTCATTGATTCTCACAGGCACCCGTTTCGTCCACTTCGAGGTCCTCCAATATCGCTCGTGGCCAACGATCTCGTCGCCATCGCTGAATCTGTTCGGCGCCATGACCACCGGTGGTGCACGTCGAAAGTGATCAGATGAATCATGCAGATTCCAAGAGCAGACTTGTGAATCATGCTTTGGTATGCTGTTGCCACAGCCCTTCTCAATGTGTTTTTCTGCTAACTCCATCAAACGCTGCACTTGTCACATAACACTCACATTGCTACCTAAGGCCCTAATATATAGACCCAGGGAGAATAGAGTCTACACAGCAAATGTGCCCGAATCATATATCGCATGGAGTCGGCCTCTGATCCGGAAGGCGAAGGTGCTGCGAGCGGTCAGGCACAGCAGCAGGACTTCACAAGTGTACATTCACAAGTCACATGGCCGGGACGTGACTATCTCCTGAGAAGGTACTTTGGTAGGGTGAGTAGGGGACCCCCTGCAGATGTATATGGAGCCCTGTACAGACTATGAATGGATGCTGCAAAGACCATCATTGTTCACAGTGTAGATGTGGAAGTCGGAAGTCGGGCCTTGGGGCAATACATGTTCACCAAGAAAAAGGAGAAGTTAGTTAGTTCATTGAAACCCCGCAGTTTGAAGCCCATGTATAGTTTGTGATTGGATGTCATAGGTTGGAATCCATGGAATCCATCTGAGAAACTTACAGCTGAGGTGTAAACAAATCATTGGGCTGGATCATGTTGCCCTGTCAAGCACCAGTTCTGTGAGGCGCGTCTTAGAGTCTTGTGATCCACCATGTGCAGCTTTTTGGCACGAGAAGCACTTCAACAACAGTAGCTACTGTTGGTTGGAACGAACCAACAGCAATAGCATTTCAATGACCAGCAACATTGTAATCCCCGGTTCCCCCTTCCCCTTCAACAACAAACATATCATATATCTGTTCACAGATGCTTGGCTGGTATGACACCAGTTCCTTCCTTGTGTTGGCTGAAAGAGTATCTGACGTGCGACGGATCTCTTCTCCACCAATGAACATGAGCGAACCACCCAGCTACTAAATGCAGGATCCTCAAACTACTCCGACGGTTCAAGTCAGTTCTGCCTCACCAGTGTTGATGATGGGGTGGTGTGAGTCAAATAATCTTCGAACCCCTGCGAGGTCCTTTGTACCGTGCGTGGTACACCCCATAGCCAACAAGGACCCTGTAAAGCGGCAGCCTGGGAGGGAAAAAAAGAAAACAAAACCAAAACTATTTTTGGGAAGCTGGAGGTATTCCAAAGGATTCTCAGTCCCAAACCAGGCAATGGGAGTTTCTGACACGACAAGAAAACAACACACATAACACTCTTTTACAACATCTAGATCAGAAAGATTTAACGATTTGTAAGAACAATTCAATCATATTCAATCACTTACAGGCATTCAACCCTGGTGTGGTATCCTGCAAACACACCGCGAATCTTTCCACATCCGCCCGTCTGAGGGGGGAAAGCATCACCAAAGCGCCCGGACGCCGCTGGTCGAGCTCTTCAGCCTGCCACATGACCGACCGGCCAGGTAAGGTCATTGTAGGTGTTTTTGCATCAACAGAACCCACTGCGATCTGCTTTTACCTAGACCTACATTCTGCGGTCAATGGTGGGACTGGGGATGTGAACAAGAGTGGCTGAGCGACTGGAAGGGCTACCGGACTGCCGGAGCCCATGGCTGGCCGCTACCCGACATCAGTTCCCGCGTACAGGTCACGGAGTGAACTGCTTCATGGGAAGGACAAGGAAGGTTCTCCATGTGCTCAGAACAGCCTGACCACACCAATCTGCAAGTGGGTTCAGTCCTTTACAAGCATCCTGAATCCTTCAGATGGATCCATTTCCCTCTTTTGCCAGGATGATGCAAAGAATCTACAACTTATCTTTTAAGCCCTCCCACCGGCATATTCCATTAAAGCAACCCTGGTTTCATCCACAAGATTTGTGTTCGTTTTGATAATCACCTTGCGACATCTGTTAAACATTGAACCCTGCATATCAACACAAACCAAATTGCGCCTAGTGTGAAAACAATCATCGTTGATTTTTGCTGCACACTCGCCTGCCGCTCGAGCTTGTTACCCGTTAAAGGTTGAGGGTGTTCACTTCACCCTTGCCCTCGACAGTGAGTCAACCG